CTTCCAACCCGGGTCATTCTATGATTCCACTTCCTTTTTTTCACCATGTAGCCACACGCACGTAGATCATGCAGGAGCACAGTAGGTGGTAGAGAGCAGGTTTGCATAGTAAGGAAGCCATCTTCAAGAGCAGAGCTATCCTCTGCTGTCTGCTAGAAGGTGTGCAGTGATATAACTGTGCATTTTGGGAGGTGGGAACAGGAAGAGCCAAGCCATTGGTGGACTAATGGTGAAAGCTTATAATGGCAAGATAAAAAAGAGACATACTTACAAAAATATGAAGTATGGTGAAGCAGGGAGTCAGGAGAGGATATAAAATAAACCTTGCAAGAAACTTGAAAGACGTCTCCTCTTAAGGCCTAAGGTTAAAGTAGCCAGCACGTCAGGAAATCAGACTAGTGAATGAGAGTCCCAGCCTCTATTGCTCGTTGCATGCCATGTCTGGAAAAACTTGTACGATTCTTGCTTGAGCAAGTAACTACACAATAAAGGTTAGTCTCTGACTGCCATCGTTGGTTTAGGTCTGTTGGTTCTTTTTTTGCTAGTATCGCTACTGTTTTCTCAGTTATATTCTGTTTGTATCTTTGTGTTATGAGTAAAACAAACCATTTTATAGTTTCTTTAGCAGTGTTTTGATTAAGGCTGATTTCTAGATTGTTGTTAGGTTCATGATGTTGTCCTTGTTATTCTGTCATTTAAAACCCCCCTTTATTCAACTGGAATGCATATTTTCTATTTACTGTTGAAATTAAAATTCTAAAACTTGTTTTTTGTTTTCTAAATCTTGACATGTTTTCAGTCAGTAATGTATGCTCCTTTTTTTTTTTTTTTTTTTTTTTTTGGTAGCAGGGGCGAATCTAGTCTGGAAACTTGCTTTTTCTTGTTTCCTGAGTCTTCCTTCAGGCTTTAAACTTTTACATGTTTAACATGTTCTATACCTAACAAATAGCTCAAAGCAATTGGGGGACAGAAGTGGGGGAGTCTAGAATGAGCCAAAATCTTATTAATTCCACTTAAGAATAATAATATCCCAGCAAATAGGTATCTCTCCAGTGTTATGGTATTGTGCTCTCTGTTAAAAAAAAAACAAAAAACAACAACCAAAAAAACTCCCTCAGAAAGTTAAACAACAAATTAGTTCACATGTTCATTATCTTTTTTTTTTTTTCTTATTGTTACTGTCTGTCTTCCTGGATAATGGGTGAGGAAGTTTCCATGGCTGTGTTAAAGGTCAATGTTGGTCACTGATTATTTAAATATTCACAGATTTATCTGGCTACAATTTTGAATTCTAGAAAAGCTGATAAGAGGTATCATTAAGTTTAGAAAATAAGTCTATGCCCCGGAAGCATGTGTCTACCTGGGTATATAACCTGTGCTATTAAATCTAGAGAGATTTTCAGCCATTTTGTAGTAAAACTTCTAAAGTGAGCCTGAAGGCAAATTGCACGTTTTGAGTTAGCCTCAGTAGGAGCAGAGGTAAACATTTTCTTTTTAGCATGGCTATTCACAATTATATCACTTCCCTTACTCTGTCTTTGCTTTCAAGCAGCACGTTGAGAAAAGCAGAGCAAGATTTATTTACCAGTATTTAAGTAGATGAGGAATATAATGGAGACATAGCTGAATAAACTTGCTATGAAAGATTCTAGGACCTATTTTTACCAATATTTTGGTTACAGGAGAACTTTCTCAGGAGCCCAGAGCACTCAAATTTAACTGCTCACGTATCAAATAGCGTACACTCTTCTAGCAATTACATAATTCGGAAATATTAATCAGGTTTCTTAGAAGTGTTTTCGTCTTTTACCAGTTTATCAGATCAAATCTACTAGCTTTTTTGAAACTCTTTTATACATAATAGTATGTTTATAGCTTTGTGTAGGAAGCTTTGCCACCCATGTGCTGTATGCTTGTACTAGAAAATTGATTAGATACTGTTGCTCTCTGTTTCTGCAAGTTCCATGGTAAAACCTGCTTTGCTGTGCGGTTTAAATTGACCCTTCTGCTGTAGCAAAACTTAATACTGCAGAGGTTTTCCCCAGAAAAAGGGGGTGTTACAGTATAGCTTCAAAAATGAGATTAAAAGGCTTAGTATGTCATTTTATAATTTTAAATTGTTTCCAGTCTGGATTTGAAAGGCCTTACTGTTTTCTCTTCAGGGGACTGACAGTGACATCAGACATTAAATATTCTGTCACAGACTTGTTTCCCTTTTTTTTCCTGTACTCTTCTGTGTCGTGTGCCCCCCTGCCTTTTCAGCATATTTCCCTGAATCTCAATAAACTAGATTATATATGAATGATGAAGAACATCGTTAAAATGTGTAAAATTGGAGAAATGAACAAGGATAATAGCTTGTGATTTTCATTAAATGAGTGTACATATAGTAGGGTAGAAAGGCTTCTAAATATCTTGGAGCACTTATTTAAAAAACAAGCAAAACCAACAAAACCCCACAAAAAACACCAAATACACACACAAAAAAACCAAACAAACCCAAAAAGAGGTCTAGAAGGGATTTTTTTTTTTTCTTCTCCATTTCATTTCTGCTTTTAAGCATCTCCTTCAGCTTTGAGAAGTGATGTTCTACAAGGTGGTGTTCTGGGGTTCTTAGTTTTCTTTCAGACAGAAACATTTCTTTATCTGCACTGATTGCACCTTAATTCATGTGACACAGTAAGGACTTGCTCAGCCTGAGTTCTGTGTGTCTTGTGCAACCTCTGATAAAGCTCTTTGAATTTTAATGTAATTTTGCTCTTGTACAGGACAGAATATGACCAATATTGCTGTTGGTTCTAGGTTGCTGGCAGACAGGAAAAGCAGAAGGAGAAGTTTAAGTTAGTAAACACAAATTTGAACAATTCCTTCAGGAGAAGACCAGTTTATTAAGATGGGATCTTTTGTGTAGGTTTCAGAGAAAATTGTAGTTTACTGGCATCTGTGATCCGTGAATCAGAAACTATAAATACATAGGTATTCCCTAATTTATCAGGATGACAAAGCCCTACTTGTGTACATGTGACAGACATGAGACACTTGTAATTGCACTAGTAACACTGGATAGTTCAGCAACCACAGTCAGGACACAGCTGCTTTTGGAACTGTTGTACTTACCTTTCTCTGACATGCTAAAATGCGTAATACCAACAAAATAATTTTTTTAATTCCCTTTGCACATATCCTGCCAGGCATACTTGGGACTGGATATCAATTCTATGGATGTCCAAACTGAAGAGGATTTTAATTTGCTTAAGATAAACAATACCAAGAGATATGAAGTTCTCAAGGAGATCCTGGTATCACTTGGCCTGAGTTGTGAATTAAGTGAAATTCCTGCGTTAACACCTATTTACCTTCTCTCTTCTGATGAGGTAGGGCTTCTGCTTACATTTCAGTTGTTTGAGATTTACCCTGCACGACAAATTAAGTGTTTGCTTAAATACACTTTGTTTCTTATGTGGTATTTTGCTTGGAGAGCTTTACGTATGTATTACAGGTAAGCGAAAAGTTTAATTTCTATTCTGTTGCTATTTTGTTACCTGCTAATAGTAGTTTTGAATTTAACCATGGGGAACTTGTGCAGGGTTAACTTTTCAGATATATTTGCTCTATTTCTGTTAAGAACTTTTATGCTTATTTGCATGCTTCTGCGATATCAAAACACAAGGCTGTGATAAGCTACAGAAAGAACTGATTTAAAAGACAGGATTTGTTTTTCTTATAAAATGAGGTAGAAGGCTGGCAACAAAAGGTTAAACCCAAATTACGAAGAATGATTTGTCAGACCAAAACTGAAAGACCTGAGTGAGTAGGGAAAAGTGTGTGACTACACAATGAAGAGTTTTGTTCCTGAGGATGTTGTAATAATTCCTGAAAATAGAATAGCTTCTTGTAATTCAAACAGTCATCTGACTATTCTGGACTTCTCAATTTGAGACATTGCTCTGAAGAACTGTGAAGAACATATAAAGCAGTAATTTTATCTCTTTTTCTTTTTTTAAATGACTTCAAATACATAAGAACTGTATTATATTGATCTGAAGGGGTGAAACAGTAGGTGATTGAAAAGCAATACAGGTTTATCAGGCTCTTTGAGGATGTTGTTTCCAACCCATGTAGTGCTGTCACTACTTGTGCTTAGGAGGCATCTGATTCCTGCGACTTTTCTGTACCAGTCTTACATTAGCACAGAAAGGAGATGTCTGTCTTTAGGAGAACTCAACTGTAGAAGCTCCTTCTTGGATACCTGTTCCAGCAGTATCGTATGTAACATCCTTTTTTGACTACAGGATCAATCAGTGAACAAAGTGACATATTACAGCTGAATGTTTATACGTAACTTGGATGATATTTTAGATTTAGGTTGTACTTTTCAAAACACTGTTCATTAGTCCGGAAGGTGGGTATGATAAGTGTTGCACAATTTATAGATTGGGAATATGTGATATGTGTCTTCATTGTATGGCAGGCAAGTCAGCAGCAGATCCAGACAAACTAACTAAAACACTGTTAACAAGTGTATCTGTAAATTCAAATCTGTGTTTGTTTTCTATGCCTCTGAAGATACTGCCAAAACATTTTGCTGGTGCATGAAGTAATGCCCTTGTATAGCAACTCAGATTGGATGTAACGATTGATCAAAATTAGGCAAAATGGCAAAATGTAGAGAGCTTTTCTTTATTCCTCTTGAATGATTTACCTTTCGTGTGTGTCAGACTCTGACAGATCCATCTCCCGTTTACAATGGTGAAAATACTTTTCAAAGTGCTTTTATCTAGCCTTCTGCTTGAAGAAGGGCTGTTGCCAACACTACATCAGGTCAGCCATGCCCTTTCTCTGGTCTAATCTTGAAAACCTCCAAGGGTACATGCTACAACCTGTCTGTGCAAGCTATTCCAGTGTTGCTGTACCATTCTAGTGAATTTTTTTTCCTGGTGTCCAGCCTGAACCTCTCAAGCTGCAATTTATGGCTGTTGGTGTTTTATTATATTGTCTGGCTCTATGAAGTAGTGTTTGGCTCTGTCACTCTTTTAAGGCTGTTGTTGTAGGTTGTTATTAAATCACTCTTTAGTCTCCTCTTTGCCAAACTGGATGAAAACAGCTTCCTCATTCTCTTCTTACAGATGTGTTGTGTACCCCTAACACCTTTGTGGTTGCTTTACAAGGAATCTTAGTGAGCAATTCCTTGCATAAGCTGAGGTCTGCTTTCCCAAGACCTAACTCTGCTGCTTCCCTTCTCAGCCTTCCTCCAAATCTTGGATTCTTATGGTTGCTACAGCCAATGCTGCAGTCTGTGACAAAATTTGAAACAAGTTCTTCCCTGTCTGTGAGCTGTAAATTAATAAGAATTTATTATCTAATTTGTATGACAGATGTGGAAACAAAACTAAAACACACTCAGCCTTTTTGACTAATATTAAATGTGGTCTATACAGATGATTAGAACTTTATTGAATTTTTTTTTTGTTCTCTTCCTTCACTCTTTTTTGATGATTGTTTCTTTCCTATGCACTTGCTGTCTTCAGACATAGCATGAATAAAAAAAGTTAGCTAATTTGTATGCAAACTTGCCATCTAGTGGCATATTACAGGTTGCAGACCTTTTATTAAAGATATTTTTGCAATGTTTAAATGTGTAGTGTATAGCTAAAGTTTACACCAAAAGTAGTTTTAAAATGTTGTTTTTCCACAGTTTTTTTAATTATAATTTTTCTGTGCTTGTACATGTAGTCATTGTTTAAATGTCTTTCATTTTAGTCATGACATGCAACTTCCATTCACAGAATGTTCTAGAAGTGTCTTATGTGTAAAAAGAGATAGCATATTAAAAGAAATAATTAATAAGTAATAATTGAGCTTTCTAACAAGTTATTTGTTTTATTCTATACATCATGTTCTACATAGGTCTTCTTGCTTTCCTAGAGAGCAAGGAGGTACCAGAAATGTATCTGGCAGGTGAATAAGTTGAGGAAATACTTAAACTTGTTTAAGATCAGAGTGAGTCATAACTACTGGGAATGGAGATGAAGGAAAACTGTCTTGCAAGCTTTATACTCTCTAACTTCCTTCTTTTTTTTTTGTCAGTGTTTGTATGGATGGCTTGTCCAGTACAGGTCACTGAGGAAGTATTGGATAGTGTATTCCTTCCCTGAGAGATTATCCAAATAACGCTTATTAAAAAAGTTATTTTTTTGGATTATTTTCTTATGCTTGCCTGCAATAAGAAATGCCATAATGAGTCAACTGATGATCAAGCAAACTCAAATGTTCTGTTTGTTAGCAGTTGCCAGTGGTAAATATTTAGGCAAAAATGGAAGAATGGCAAACACTCTCCTCCTTTTTAAAAAACTTTTAAAAAAAGTTTCTAAGAGTTGGCAGTTCACTGATTATTCCCACCCTGACCTGGAGGTTGCATCTGTACCATTATGTTTAAAAACCACTGGTAGACCCAACCTTGTCAGATTTTTCTAATTAATTTTAGAAACTACAAGCTCCTTTTGCTTATGTGGAGGAAATAATAACTGATTTTGTTCTGCTTTTTCTACTCTATTAAGGAAAAATGTAGAATTTTTTGGGGGGGACTGGTTTTTAATTCTTTAAATTTAAAGTGCTATTTTGGTTAGTTTTTTTTCTTCCTGATCTGTAAGCCTTAATTTACAGTAGAGCTGCACCCTGTTCTGTGTGATTTCCTTGGTTTCTCTTACCCACCAACTTTCCTCCTTTATCACCTCAGGACTTTGATCAAGCCTATTTTCTACTACGTTGTGGACATCAAATAAAACTTACTCAACTTTATTACATGGATAAATAGCTTCTCTTGTCTTTTCCTCTGCCCACAATTCCTGAACAATCCATGTCTTTTAGCATCATTGTTGCTATGCTGTTGATAATACCATCAGATCTATTAATCAAATTGATACCAATTAGCATAAGACTTTCATATCTTCCTGTCTGTTCTCTGGGTCTTGGAAGGTGCCTTTTGTAATGTAATTTTTAGCTGCTTTTCAAGGGTGGAGATTGGCATTTTTTTTTTCTTCCTTAGGATTTATGTTTTGAAGTTTTATTTTCCAGTTTCCATGGTTATCATGTATCTTAAAATCACAGTTTTACTACATGGATTAAAAAAACATAATAAAATATGAGCAGAACTGGCATTAGCTTTCTGAAAATTAGTGTAACTTTAGAATTTGGGGAGACAATTTCTTTAACTCCTAAAAAAAAAAAAAAAGCTAATGCTGGGGAGAAGGGTTGAATTTTGACTTTGTGTCCAGGATTTTATATATGTGATCTATTACTTTCTAAAAAGCTTATATATAATAAAAACTGGGGGCTATTTTGATGTATGAAGAAATTAGCAAAGATATAATTAACTTACATGTAAGTAAATTTGAATGTAGTATCATTTTCTTTGAAATAAGACATGGAAAGGCAGATGTTAATATTCTATGAGGAGTTATGAACTTTGTAATGCACTTTTTGCCTTTGGCATGTGAAAATAAAATTTTAGTTTAGGGTGGAATGTAGGAGACTCAAGAAGAAATATTTAAACCTTGACAGTAGTTATGTTGAAAATTACACAATTAAATTTTAGCACTCAAGAAAAATACGTTAGGAATGGGATGGTCAAGCTTTTAAAAAAGTGATATATTGACTGTGTATGGTTTAGCCAGGCAAGACTTACGCTGCTGATACTGTTCTAAAACAGGCAGAGACTTCCGGCTGTGCTGTTTTCAAGTTTGAAATAGCATGAGTTGGAGGCTGTGCTGAGTAAGCACTGAATCTTGTTTACTTTTACTTGTTGAATAACTTTCCAAACAGTGAAAATTAGATCACATTGCTACCACTGTTGTGGTAACAATACCTAGGTTACTTCTCAGTAGAAAGTTAGAAAGTCAGATTGAGATGTCAAACTAGAAAATATGATTTATTAAATTTTGTGTGTGGTGCAGTTTTCTAATAATGTTACTGCGATGACCCAGGGATTTTCAGTTTTACTTTTTTTTTGGTTTTTTGGTTTTGGTTTTTTTTTTTTTTCCTCCTGTGTTTCTTTTGTTCACCTGGCTTTTTCTTAAAATGTCCGTGGGCCGTACCAGTCTGAGATTGAAATTCTGGTAGTATTATGGCTTTGAATTAAAAGAAAAGCTCTAATATCTGTGTAATGGATGATAATGTCCATCTGTTAAGAGATCTAGATCTTACCATGTAGAATTACGTTAGTCAATCCTCGGCTAGTGCTCACTGCTGCTGGTGTTGAGTGATTGCTATGGCAGTGTGCGCTTTTCATTCTTGATCTCCTTTCTTGTAAATAGACTATAAAGTGGGGGGCCTGCAAAGTGACAGCACTTGAGGCAACTCTTTCATCACAAGACTT